TGCCAAGAACACAGCCATGGGGGGCCGAGAGGCTGGTGGGAAAGTCTCGGCAGGAGGGCCTGGGTCTCAGGGCTGCAGTAAGTCTCAGGAGGGAACAGGGAGATGGGCGCCGGCCCAGGCAGGGGGGCCAAGGGGGGCCGCACACCATGCCCGTGTCTCTTGGGTGGGCAGGCTTTCCCACCCCAGTGGACATGAGCCCTCTCCCGAGCCCCCCCACAACGGAAGGGAGTCCTCCAATGATGCCCCCGAGTCCCCAGCACCACCCAAGACCAGCAGCACCTTGAGTCCCAGCAGCTGAGAAGGCCCCATATACTCCTGCCCCCCGCTCCACAGAATTTGCTGGCCCCTGAGGGGGAGGGGGGCACCTGGGTCATCTTTCAGGGTCTTGCCCACCAGCAGGCCAGCCAGGACACGGGCTTGGCCAACTGCTGCCTCCAGGGCACTTCCCCGTCCCAGCTGCGCCCAGGCCTGCCCCCCGGGTGCTTACCTACCTCAACTCCTGCAGGACGCCCCTGCCTCTACCCCTGCAGATGGGGCCACCTGGGTGCTCCCATGGATGATTCACCGCTGATGCCAGCCGCCTCCTCCCCTCCTCTTCCGGGTCCAGTGTCCGGCCGTCCGCTCTAGGGGCGGAGCTAGTTGGGGGACGGCCACATCTCCAGGGGTGTCGATGTCGTGGGGAGGGGGTGGCCCAGGAGGGAACCTGGGGGCTACAGGGAGGCTGCCAAGACAGCCAGGCCCCAGCAGGATGATCTACTTTTGGCCCCGAGGCCGCCTCTGCATGGTCTGCAGCCTCAGGGGGCCCGGGCGCCTGGGCCCCGGCCCAGCCATCCCCAGCCCCGGCCCCGGGCGGAGCCTTCAGGAGAGGCGCACATTGGTTTGGCTTGGGTGGCCGGCTGGCCAGACTTTTGTGCTGCCAGGGTCACCCGCTGACCTCCCAGGCCATGGCCAGCCCAGACAGCCCCCAGGCTCTTTGGCATGCCAGGTGACGGCTTAGGCGGCGTGCCCAGTGGACCCACACTGGAGGATCCCTGAAGGCCTGAACCCAAGTGACCTCATCCTTAGGCCCAAAGGCCCTTCTGGGACTGACCACTTGGTCTGGGGCTGCTGAGCAGGAGGAGAGGGCCGTGGGGCAGCAGGGAGACCCAGCCTGGGCCCTGTGGGCTGCAGTTCTTGGGGCAGCGCAGCTGGGACACCCCTGAGTGCCAGGCCCAAGACTCCTGCCCAGTGCCCATGGGGTCCGAGTCCGTCCCTCAGCTCAAGGCTGCCATGTGGCTTCTACTGATTCCTCCAGGGCACCCGTGGGTTCCTCTGGCTGGATCTGGGCTGGGGCTGGGACGGCCCTGGGCCTGCCCAGAGCAGGGGTGGCAGAGAGGCCCTAGAAAGGCCCAGCCCTGGGCAGCCCCTTGGGCCCTTCTCTGTCCCCTGCCCCTGCAGGACCCCGTCCCCCTCTCAGCCTCCATCAGAAATAGCTCTAAAAGTAGAGCGCTGCAGGGCTAGGCGGGGAGAAGTTGCTGGGGTGTTCTCAATCTCTTTCCTTGGAAAGTGCTCTGGGGGCCCTGAGAGCTCAAGCCTTTTGAGCTAAGAGAATCTGCTCCCAGCCAGTGCCTCAGGCCCCCCAGGCCCCCCAGAGCCCCCGGAGCCCTTCTCTGTCCTGTCCTGAACAGCCAGGGGCCCTGGGACCTCACAGCACCCAGGGCAGGAGCTTGCCTGTGGGCACCCAGTGAGCAAGGGCCAAGCTTGGAGGGGCTGGTGTAGAGAGAACAGGACGGGGGTCCCTGGAAGGGCCCCCACGGCCCAGGCAGTCGCCTTGCCGGCCCCCTGGCCGACACCTCAATCCCCACGCCGCACAGACAACACCCGTAAGGCTCATTCAGAGGGTTTATTGAATAGCTTGGGGTGCAGGGCACGGAAGTCTCAGGGCCACCGGCGCGGGGAGGTGCCCTAGTTGCAGTAATTCTCCAGCTGGTAGAGGGAGCAGATGCTGGTGCAACACTGTTCCACGATGCCCCGCTTCTGCAGGGCCCCCTCCAGGGCCAGGGGCTGCAGGCCGCCCATGCCAGGCGCCCCGCCCAGCTCCACGTCCCTCGCTGCGGGTAAGCAAACAAGGGGGGAGCGGGTCGGGGAGAGAACGCTCTCCCCTGCCTGCCCACCCTCCCGTGCTGGCCTCTGCCAGGACAGCAGGGTGCCTGCCGCCTGGCACGGGGCCCATGCACCCTGCCACCTGTTCCCAGGCCCCGGGGGTGGGGGCGCCAAGGCTGGAGTCTGCGCTCGCGTCCCTCCTGCCCGACACTGGCCAGGGAGCTGGTCACTTGCAGGACGTGACCAAGGGCATGTCATTGTTCTTTTTCACGATCCCGCCCGCCTTCCCCCGGTGCCAGGTGGGAAGCCAAGGTGGGGGCCGTGGGGGCTCACCCTGCGGGTCCTCCACCTCGCGGCGGGCCTTGGGCGTGTAGAAGAAGCCGCGCTCTCCGCACACCAGGTAGAGCGCCTCCACCAGGTGGGAGCCACACAGGTGCTGGTTAACGAAGGCTCGGCTTGGGGCCGGTGCCCAGAGGGCCAGCAAAGCCAGCAGGGGCAGGAGGTGCGTCCAGAGGGCCATGGCGGGGGACGGGGACCTGGGGCACAGAGGGGGTTGAGGCTGGCAGGGTCATGTGCCCCACCCAGGAACCCCACCCTGTGCTCAGCCCCCAAACACTCCGAGGTAGGAGCTCTTGTGCTCCTGGGGCCCAGACACCCCGGACTCCTCAGCGGGGCAGCCCCAGGCTGACGAGGAGCCCACGGGGACACACCTGCTAGCCGTCCGTGTCAGGGTGCAGCTGGTCCCGGGGGGCTGGGTGCTGCGGGGCCCTCCTAGCTTTATAGCTCCTGATCCCACTGCCCACCCCATTAGGGCCCCTAGTGGGGTGGCAGATGGCCGGGGGGCTGAGGCTGCAATTTCTGGATCATTTCCCCAGTGCTGGGTCTGCGGGAATGGCTCCTTGGTCGTCAGCACCTGTGGGTCATTAGAGTCTTAACGAGGGGCCTGATGGCCACTCACAGCTGGGGGAGAATGTCTCCACAGGAGCAGAGCCCCCACCCCCCAGGGCCTTGCCTGAGCCACATTTTCCACATTAGTCCAGGGGAGCCCGGGACCAGAGGAGGGGGCTTCTTCTGCCTGGCCCCTGGACCCCTGTCTGCCCCCTGGGCCCCTTGGATGATGCAAGGCCATGGGGGAGGTGTGGCGGAGCATCTCGTCCCTGCTCACAGCCCTACCCCCACCCCAGCACGGCAACCTTGCTGAGACCCTCAGCACCCAGGGTGCTGCACTGAGGGCCGAGCTTGGGGACCAGCCGCTGTGTGGACACTCGGGCTAGGCCCTGCTTCTCATCTCTGCTGTGGGGGCAGCAGACGACACCCTCTGTCCTGCCCATGTTCGCCCTCCGTGCCACCCCTGCTTCTGGAGGCCCTGCCCGGCTCCCCCATGCTGACCCCTTTCAGACCATCGACTCCCTGGGCTTTCACATATATGGTTGGGGCCCCTGGGGTGCTCCCCAGCCCCCTGGACAGGACCAGGAGAGAGGTCAGGACCCTCTCCCCCTCCCCCTGCCATGTCTAACCGTGACACCACTAGGGTCTGTGACAGGCTGAGCCCTGCCTCCTCCTGTAGCCTCAGACCAAGTGGGCAGGAAGGGTTGGGGGCACCCTGCGCCCTTGCCTCAGCATGGACCCCAGTCTCCAGGCTGGACCCTCTGCCCGGGCAGTCCTGGTCTGTGGCCCCGCACGACCGGGGCACTACAGGGGCCTGGCCCACCTGCTCCGAGCTCAGCAACTCCCCCACGCCGCGCTCGGCCCAGGGTGGATGCCCCTGATCCTGTGGGGTGCCTTCCCCACTGCTGCTTCCGCCTAGGCCTCGCGGCCACCCCCACAGCCACCACGCAGCCCGTGGCCCTCTGTAGCCACGGAGGGTCTGGGGGTCTCTTGAGAGGAACATGCAGGATGGGAAGATGTGGGTGGAGCAGGACCCCGGTGAGAGGGCGGAGCCCAGAGGCCAGTAGAGCTCGGGGGTCAGGGCCAGCCCTCACCCCTTCCCCAGGGTCTCAGTGGGGCTCACAACCCTCAGAAATGGCCCCCACCGGGGTCTCGTGGGCCGAAGGGAGGCAGGTAGGGGAGGCCTGGGATGGGCAAGGTGCTTAGACCACCAGGGAGGGCTGGGGAAGAAGCTTTTGCCCCAGAGGGCCTTGACAGATGAGTAGGAGTTTGCCGGGACTGACATACTAAATGTGTGGCAGGCATGGCTGCCGGGGGTGAGCAGGGCCTGGGACACCGGTGGGCATTTCTCACCCCACAACGAGGGAGGAACCAGGCACATCCCAGGAAGCCCCCAGGCTTGGGCTGGGCCAGCCCTGGAGGATGCGGGGGCTCCCGCTGGAGGGCCATGTCAGACCCCTTGAGTGAGCTGAGGGGCAGCTCACAGAGCCCGGAATCCAGCCCGCAGCTGCCTTGCTGGGGGACTCAGGCCCAGGGAGGTTATCTGGGAACCAGCTCAGCTGGACTCCCCATCAGCACACATTTTGGGGACAATTTCCAGGCCCTGCTCTGTGCGGGTGGGATGCCTCAGGGCCCCGTTCCTGCACCTGCTACGGGCTGGCCCCTGTACCCCTGTCCTCTAGTGGGGACACCCGGCTTGTGGGGAGGGCCCAGCCTGCAGCCCTGCCTTGGAAGCCACACCCACCAAACGCAGAGCTGTGAGCCCCAGGTGCGGCTCCCGATGCCCCTGCCCCCCGGCCCCCACGGGGATGATGCGCTCAGCCAGGACCCCCTCCGCCCCCTGGAGCTGCTGGGAGCTCAGCACAGACTGGTCCTTTGGGGTGAGCAGGGCATCTCCTATCTGGCCTGGGCTGCCTGGTGAGGTCTCAGAGAAGGCGGGAGGCAGAAGAGAAAGCTTTGAGCAAGGCTAGGAGCAGGGGGTGAGGGGCCCCAGCCCTGAGCCCGGCACACAGAGGAGGCCAGGGAGGTGGTCAGAGGGATTCTTTCTTTTATTGAGGTTGCGAGTGGGCGGCGTGGGCAGCATGGGAGGGGCAAGGACACAGCAGGCAGAGCTGAGAAGCAGTGGGGTGGGGGTCCACGGGGTGCCCTCCAGCAGGGAGGGTCTCTGGCGGGCTCTCGGGGTGCCCAGTGATCCAGCCCCTCACGCGGGCAGGGGCCAGGGGGAGGCTAGGGAGGGGTGGGGAGACCTCGGGCCCCTCCCACTGCTCCTAGCTGATGGTGCTCAGCGCATGGGTGAGGGTGTGCAGCTCATCCTGGACGCCCTCCAGGGAGCGCCGGATCGCATGGGGACTGTCCAGCACGTCGATGGCCAGGGTATACGGGTCAAACTTCACAGAGAAGGGGCGTTGGATGCGGGAAGCGTAGTTCCTAGGGAGGGGAGGGCGTATGGACCCTCGGTCACCTGGTGGGGACTCTGGGGCCACTGGGGAGGTGGGGAGGAGCAGGGGCAGCTTGGGGCAGAGTCTGCGGCCCCCAGGAGGGGGGGGCACATCATCAGTGCGGGGCAAGCCCAGGCCCCAAAAGCTTCTTGCGACCGACCAACTGGACAAGATGGGGGATCGAGGCCTGCTCCAAGGGTGGGGGGCAGGGGAAGGACAGGCCATTCCCAAGCGGGCCTCGGCTGGACCCCCATCCCACCCCACCCCTCCAGGAGGCCTTCTTGGGCTGTGTGCCCCAGAGAGCCCCAGGTCTGTTCCTGTCCCCACACTTGCTTGTGGGATCCGGCCCTCCCGCACCTCCACTCTGCACACACAGCCCCTGGGCCTCGGTTTCCCTTAGCTGGAAAACAAGACTCTCTCTGAGGATGAGCAGGTGGGATGCGTCAGGTTTTGCCCCCTCTCCCAGACACCACTGGTCACGCACCCTCAGCCCCCGGCCCTGGAGGCTCCTCGCCCCCTCCAGGCCCCCCGGGGTTCCCCCACCCACCCTCAGCCACCCCTGCCCCTCTGTCCCACCCCATGGCCCCAGCTGTTCAGCAGGCAGGAGGCTGGGAAGGGCCCCACACATCCTTCTTATAAAGGTCAAACTCTGCCTCCTGAAACCTGGCCTTGACCTGACCACCAGTCCGGCAGCTCTCCCCCCCCCCGCCCCCCCGGGACTTTTGGGGGGCCAACGGTGGGAGGGGTGTGCACACCAGGCCCTGCTTGCAGGCTAGCCTAGTCTGGGGGTGTGGTGGGGGGAGTCTCAGCCCTGGGAGCCCTGGCCCACCTGAGCTTGTCCTTGGCGTCGCTGAAACTTTCAGACACAAAGTACACGGACTGGTAGGTCTGGTCCTGGTAGGGCTGCACGGCTGCGGCGTCGGGGTCGAAGGCCCGGATCTCAGGCTCCTCGGACAGGGAGTGCTGGGAGGAGGCCATGGGTCACAGGGCCCCCACGCCCCGGGCCCGGAGGGAACGGAGTGCCGCATCCTGACTCCACACCCTCCCTGCAGGGGTCCTCTAGAGGCCTGGGGACAGCGCAGGACGAGCTTCCCCGGTCATCCCCTGCTCCCACCTCCCCGGGAGCCCCAGGGTGAGCACCCTCCTGGCCGGGGGGCCACGGCAGGGGCGGGCCTCACCAGGAGCTCCCCGTAGGAGGACAGTAGCCCAGCGCCGTAGGCCTTCACCTCGCCATTCTGCTTACACAGCCCGAACTCCACCGTAAACCAGTACAGCTGGGGGGACAGCACTGCAATGGTGCCCGCAGCCGCGGCCCCGCCAGCCCCCGACGCTCGGCCCCGCCCCACCCCCAACCCCGGCAGAGCCCGGCCGGCCCTGGGAATCACAGCGGAAAGGTAACAGTCCCTGGACAGAAGAGGGGCCCTCAGCCCCGACGGGGGCCCCTCCGGCCTGAACCCAGGTGTCCTGAGCACGCCCCGCAAGGCCCTGCAGGGGAAGGCACCCACCGTGGACAGCTTCTCGATTTCCTCATCAGAAGCCCCCAAGGACGCGAGCCCGATGTCCTGTGGAGGCAGGAGACTAAGAAGGGAGGGGCTCGGCCCACCCCTACATGGGCGCCTGCATGCGGTGAGGGTGCTCCAGGGGCCCTCTGGGGTTTCGGGGACCCTCCCAGGATGTGGGCAGCCTCCCAGGATGGGGGATCTTTCCCAGATACAGAGGTCCTCCAGGTATGCAGGGGGCCTCCGAAGATGGGGGACCCTCCTGGGATGCAGGGACCCTCCGAAAATGGGGGACCCTCCTGTGATGCAGGGACCCTCCTGGGATGCAGAGACCCTCCGAAAATGGGGGA